CCTGAATGCAGGTCTCCCCGTGGTGGAACTCAGCTGGATGCTTTGCAGGTAAAAATATGAGAGTTGAACTAAGAATTTAAACATTAAGAGCTTCTGGTTTTTAATTACACACTGGATGTTGTAAACTGCTTGGTGTAGTCAACTCAACCTCAGAAGTGAATAGTATATGCTTTAAAGTGCTTTCATTAGGAAACAAGCAGGACTAGATGGATTGAATAAGGAAGCTTAAATTTCATAAGTATCGTGGTATAAATGCTGAGAGTCAGAAAGTTTCTGTATTTCAGCAGAATGAATGTTTTGAAAGTGTATGATACAGAATTATAGCTCTCTTACACCTCAGGTGCAGATTAGGAATAAGTGATGGAATCTGGTCTGGCAAATAGTGTTGCCACATGTACTGATTTTTGATGGCATGAGAGGCGAGTTAAAATCTGTAGGGTGAGATGTTTTAAATGTTATTATTTGAAGTGCAGATAGAAATTTGAAACAATCTCTTGATATTTTCACGAAACCAGAGAAAACTCCGTGAAGTATCTACAAAGTATCAGCTTTTCCAGAAACCAGCCAATTTTGAGCAACGCATGTTGGATTGCAAGCGGGTGTTGGATGGTGTAAAAGCAGAACTGCATGTCTTGGATGTGAAGGATACCGACCCAGATGTAATCCAAGCTCATCTGGATAAGTGCATGGTAAGGATGCAATGTTCTTAACACACGTCTGGTGCAGTTTGTTTCTTGTGTGATTCTTTTTGCCTAAACTCCCTTCTTAGGAAATTTCACTTAAAATCCTGATGGGACTGTTACAACTTTTTGTAAAATGCCGGTGGAACAATTGATAACTAAAAGCCTAGAATTCTTCTGGGTGATAATTTGGATATAGAAGTGGTGGGTTATTGATGACAGATGTGGTGAACAGCTGAGTTTGTAAAAACTTCCTTCCCTGGGTCATCCTCATGTTACAGGGAAGCATCACTCCAGGGGCAAATTTGCTTCTTTCTTAGTATTTGAACAAAAAAACCCCAAACTATACCTAAGATCTAGTACAGATCACAGTGTTACCTTTGTGATATGTGGTGGTGTGATGGAGTAAACACTGCTAAGTCGTTGGCGTAATTCTTTTTTGGGGGGTGAAAATTAGAACTAGAATTAAGTACAGAATATCAGGACTTTGAAATCTTCTTGGCAGACATTGTTCTTAATCCATAGCTCAGAGTTCAAGTTCAATCTGACAGACAGGGTCCCCAAATGAACCAAAGTCTGAAAATCTGCACTACAAATTGATCACCAATACACGTTTGTATTTTTAGAAACTCTATAAGACCCTCAGTGAGGTGAAACTGGAGGTTGAAACTGTCATAAAGACAGGAAGACAAATTGTACAGAAACAACAGACAGATAATCCCAAAGGCATGGATGAACAACTGACAGCACTGAAATTTCTTTACAATGACTTGGGGGCGCAGGTAAGAAAAAAAAATATACATATGAACATTTGTCTGCATATAAATTCCCTTCTTTGTTGTTTTGATGTCAAATGCTGTTTGAAGTTAGATTCTGAAACTGATGCTGTATAGGCTAGTTGCTACATCCAGGAGCAATCACTGGAGAGATTAAAGATTACAGATAGCAATCCTGTAGTTGTGCCAGGCCTCTGTGCTCATAAAGGGTTCCTGAAGGGGAGGTAGCCTTGCAGAAAGGAAGGTTCACAGAGCTTTCATCATTCTGGTAAAGCTGGCCTGCTATTCGTTCAAGTCTTTGAACACTGTTGTACCATCTCTTATCTGTGAACTAGCCTGCAGGATAATTTACTATCAGATTGTCGGATGAGAAGTTAGAGTTGATGTAAAAATTTTTAGGATGCGTGACAATTGTTTCTAATCCTAATCCATCTAAAAGATTGCTCCCAGTATGAAATAGAAAATGCCAGCAAAACTATACTTCCTATGAACTGCCTTAAGGCTTTGTTTGAGTAACTTTCTTAATAATGTAATAGTTATTTATCTAAGTGTTTAAAAGGGTTTAACCATTTAGGGGGCAGGGGGGAAAGAGAATTCTTTTCCTACCTAAATTAAAACAAGTCTGAGCAGACTCAGGCCTCTCTTCAGTGTTCTGTGAATGAGGCTGTGTGTGGCCAGATTACCTTGTTGGAATATCTTGAAATGGCCCATAGGAAATTTTTTACTGTTGTAAAGTGGAGAACATTTATGAAGATGTGGATTCTAGTGGAACCTGTACATCTATAACTTGGAAAGCACGTGGACAAGAAATTGGGAAAGGCAAAGTTATTTGCAGTATGTCACAATTTTGTTTGTGTCTGAATTACTTTTTTTTTAGACCTTCAAAGAGTGTTGTATTTTGAATAAATACAAACACAATGCTGACACAGAGGGCAGTTTTTCAAAATGTTAGTTGATTTTGACTGCTATGGTTGGATTTATTCTCAAGTTTATGTTAAAGTTTGACCAGACTAATTGTGTAGCCAGGGTGAAATAGAATTGATTATACTGCAGCAAATTTAATATTCACTTTATCAAAAAGTTTTCAAGGGCAGACTAGATTTTCAATGAAATTTTTCTTTATAACTTTCTGCTAGCAGGTCTATCAAAATACAAAAAGGAACTGAATTTTACCTGTGTGAGTGGCAGGCTGGATTCTATATACCCTTGAGTTTCAGTTAAAGAAATGTAATAAGCAAAGTTTAAACATCAATTTGGTGATTGCTAGCTGTAAATAAGGTAGTATGCAAGTTTCGTTTGTTTCCTTTAAGTGTACCTTAATTTAAAATTATCTTAGTTTTACGTATTCTGCCTTGATTAGTAGAGATACAGATGCTTGTAAATGATTTTTCAGGGTCCTTCCCTAATGCAAGACAATCTTCGGATGCATTGATTATATATCTTTGAGTGGATATTTTAGCTAGGTAGCACTTTCATTTTTTGCTTCTTTTTAAAATGTTTTTTTGTTTGTTTGTTTCTGTTGTTGTGTTTTTTTGTAGGTGACAGAAGGAAAACAAGACCTTGAAAGAGCATCCCAGCTGGCACGCAAAATGAGGAAAGAGGTTGCCTGTCTGTCAGAGTGGCTGGCTACCACTGAGGCTGAGCTTGTGCAGAAGTCCACTTCAGAGAGCTTGCTTTCTGATCTGGATTCAGAAATTGCCTGGGCCAAAGTAAGCATGCTCTCAATATCTGTAGAATGATTATTTAACATTATGGCAATACTATGTGGAAGTGGCTGTGAATTTAAATCCCCGTAACTTGTTCCTGAATCTACTAAGTCATGACTTTTTACTAGATTATTAGATCATAATCAGTAACTTACTGAGTCTGATCTGCTTCATCTGAAGCATCTTGCCTGACTTCAATGGCCAGTGAAATATTAAAGATATTGCTATATATTTGGTATTAGTAGGTATTTAAGTGACTCACTATATCACTAACACAGTGATACTCTGAATTAACAGCAAGTAAAATTTTAGGCTGGGTCAAATATTTTACTAGTAGACCAAACTGTGAATGTTTATTGACATTTTTCATGGAAAATTCAGTTTGTAACATTTCATTGAAAGAGCTCTGTCTTCAAAATTGTGAGTTTGCAAACCAAAAACCTCCTATAATTCCCTATTTTCCTTCATCTATAAAATGGAACTTTTATTGGAGGCAGGCCAAATGTGTTCTAATTATTCTGAAGTATCTATTTTCTCACACTATGGAAACTTGTATATGTAATAGATGGAGTTAGCAACAAGTGTCAGTTGATAGAGTTCAGCATTACTGGTCTTCCCAAACATTGTTTTCTGTCACCTTTTACTGTTTGGACTAGGTCTGTGTGCAATCTTAAAACTTGAAAGTTTACAAAATTAGAAAAAACATCTATATATAACCTATTTTCACCCATTTCACTCTGGTTTAGCAATTACTGGCACCACACTTCTGCTGTGGCAGTATCCCTGAGATTTCCTTCCAAACAAGCTACACCACCAGGAGGACAAGCACTTTATGTTACATGTGAAATTGTCCTTTCTGTCTTAAGGTTTTCCAGAGGCAGTTTTAGAATGTAGTAACTTGAGTATTTGTTTCTGTCTATAAGATAATAAGTTATGGTAAAATATAGATAATGAGATATTCAGGGAGCTTCAGACACTAGTTATGATTAACTACATTCTTCCACACACTGTACACTGACACCAAAGAGCTTTCTGAGTAGCCACATGTTATCAATAATAATTGGTGATGTGTAACAATAGGTGCCGTTTTCCACATAGAAACCATATACTGCTATTCAAGAGATGACATACTACTTGACTGGTATGTCAGGATACACTCTT